GTAACTCTTAACTGAGATATCGTGCTATAGGTCCCTCTTTGATCATGGTTACTACAGTTCCACCGAGGAACATATACATCTCACGGTAAATTCTTTACCTTTTCTTTCATGTATACGAGTCGATCTCCTTTTCCTCAGGCTCTATCAAAAAAGGGAATCGTCACTCAGAAATCCTGCTCCGTGATGTTGAGGTACATCTCATGTTCGGAGTGCACATCCCATTTGCTCATGATCTCTCAGCATGTTGCTACCTTAGCGTCGATCGTCAAAACATCCGAGTACACTTATCCGAAAGGTGAGATCGACGAATGTTGGGAGAAAGTTTTGTTAAATCAATGTAAGCTAACTGATACTTTCAAACGAAACGAATACTGATTTCTCCGGTATGTAGTCCACGATGGTAAGCGTTTTCGGTCTCTCTTTGTTTTCCTTAGCAATGTTAACGCAAATGAACAGTCCTTCCTGGTTCCGCGATGTGAGCTCCAATATCTACGATGGTAATCTTTTTCTCCTGATTATTTTCGAAGCGGCATGGTTTACGAGGATGCCGAGAAGCTCTATGCCGAAGTTGGCAAGGATGGTAAAGCACTGATGGAAGAAGCTTTCCAAGTCCTTTTCCCCAATTCGATCCCTTTGACCCCGGAGACCAAACTCCAACCAAACACTTCACTCAATCAAATCATTGGCTACAATACGACGTTCTTTGATCGGCGAGAAATCGTCCAGTTCCCCTTGGTCGGCGCATCGGCTGGTCTAAAGACGGCAGTGGCGCAAGTCGACCAGAGTAGCAAAATTGGTTATGCGGTCATGGACAACGGTGTTCTTGACGCGTCTATCGCCAACAATCTTGATTTACATGCGTCTGGTGAGTCTAATGCTTGTTTATGCTTACCCAGTGTCAACTAACTACATTAGCGTATACCAACGGTTCCGATCACTTCGTACTGAGGAATTCTAGTGTACAATTGACTATCTCGAATGGCAGAATCACAAGTCTGGTCGATGTCCAGCTTCGGTAGGTATTATGCCGGCTGTCGAATTACACTTACAATTTGCCCTCCAGGCGTGAGCTGATAGCTGATGGGGCGACCGGTGGGCTGATAATTTTCGAAGACCGACCGAACTATTGGGATGCCTGGGGTATGTATCGCTATCAGATATTGAAAACTCCCACTGAGCCTGTGGTAGATGTCGAGATTCATCATTTAGAAACGACAACTTCTCTGAAATTCACCAACGTCTCAGTGGTGGCGCATGGACCACTGCGCGCCTCTGTTCAGGCTCAGGTCAAGTATGGCAAAAGTACCATCAACGTCTTGGTGAGATCGTTCCCAACTACTATGTACACTTCTGTTAAACGTTCTTGATCTAGATCTCTTTGGACGCAGTCGGTGGTAAGTTTAATTAATCATGACTTTTCTTGTCTTATAATAATACAACACCTTCTAGCCACCCTCAAACCAGGATCTCGGTCTATGTTCAGATTCGATGTGGAAGTGGACTGGCGAGAGCGACACGAGTTCCTCAAGTGTAAGTTGAGCTTTTGAATCGTTTCACATATACTGATTTCTTCTATCCCGATCGCAGTCGAGCTTCCGCTGAATATCCACAATGACAATGCTTACTACGAAACCCAATTTGGATATGTTCAGCGTCCCACCCATAAAAATACTACTTGGGATATGGCCAAAGTAGGTGAACCTTTGCAGAATATATGATGTACTCAATCTTATGTTCTCTTATTTACTCAGTTTGAAGTCTGCGGGCACAAGGTACGATAGAAAGTACCCCCTATTATGCGGTACACTAAACATGCTCTAGTACGCTGATCTGAGCGAGTACGGATATGGCCTGGCGATACTTTCAGAATCAAAGTATGGGTTCTCCTGTCAAGGGAATGTTTTACGCATTTCTCTGCTGAGGGCCGCGACTGCTCCAGATGCCGAGCAAGATCAAGGTCTGTTGTCAGACCTATTGCGTTCGAATTTTTTACGGAATTTATTTCTGTCATGCCAGGTGAACACAAGTTCTCCTGGGCCGTAATGCCGCACAAAGGGCACTTCCTAGAGTCAGACGTTCCAATGGCGGCATATCTGTTCAACTCACCAATGCATGGTCTGTCTTCAACGCGTAGTCTAAGAATACAATATAGATATTGATGACTTTTCTCTAGTTCGTTATCTTCTAGGTGACAAGGATGCTATTGCAGCATCTTTTACGAACCACCCGTCATTCGCTATCCATGGAGCACCTAATGTCTTTCTGGAAACCATTAAGCGTGGGGAATATGATGATTTTGATACATCATCTTCCGAGTCGGATTATTGTACAACTGTCATTGCACGGTTGTACGAAGCCTTTGGTGGACATGCACACGCGACTTTAGTCATTGGCGACCATTTATCTGGCCGAGTTGTGAAGGCTGTTACTACCAATCTGCTTGAGGACGAAGACAAGGAGGAAGAAGTGCAAATCATGGACGATACTAATCTTGGACCAGTTCTAAAGCTGAATTTCCGAGGCTTCGAGGTGAAGACTTTGAAGGTGACGTTGTCAGAGCAGAGTGACATGCTAGCCTTTACGGAGAATCGCACGCAACAGAGTCAAAAGACAAAAAGATTGTGAGTGCGAATCTCGATATGACGTTGTTGGGCTCTCTTGAAGTTTGGTCTGCGATTTTTAGGACCAAGAGAACTAGTTGGATAGACATTGACGGTTTGAAACTTGCTGCGAGAGAGGATTAGGAATTGGATATCAATTCATAGGATGTGGTGTGATTCCATATAACAGAACCGGTCGCGGGTTTGTTAGTATGCGGTCCAAGTTCAACTTTAGCGTGTCACCGCCATAGATACCTTTCTCAGTATGTACACTAAAAATGGACCGGGTAGCACATCCTGAATACGAATTGTATATCCTGAAAATGAGTCCTCCATGGTACAAAACATAGCAAAACGTCTCAACGATTGACCCCCCCATCACCGTATTCACAAGTATAATATTGGGTACACTCGTTCCTTCCTCTTTCTACTTGTGGTTGAATGTGACCCTGTGCAGCGTGTATTGCTCTCGATGTTGATGAGGATGCGATAGAAGTGCCGAGGTACTCGTGGGTCTAAGGGTCGGAAAGGGATACAGGAGGATACACGTTGCACTCGAAGGGAACTGTATCACGTATATGGAATCAGAAAGTCATAGGCCTCACCTTTGACGACCCCCATCGACCAGGGAGTTCCTCAGTAATGATTAAGATGGCATTTGTCTAAAACTAATTCCATAGACGACGCATTGAATACTTATCAAGATACGGAGATAGTCTTTTGAATGCAAATCGAGAGCTCAACTTATCTACGCTCGATGTCGCGAAAATGTCCTTACGTTGAGAACCGCTGGCGTTGAGCCACGCTACTTCTACAGAGGATTTCAATCTAATACCCAAGAGTCTCGAGGTAAACATCCAGACAAAAAAATGGTCGCGATTCAGGGTCGCGAACGCGTCGAAAACACATGAAAGATATACTGTACATATTATCACATGAGAGTGTTGAATGAATAAATACACGGCCAGATAAAAGTTTTTTATCAACCACCATGTCTTCTACTCAAACAGAAACATCTACCATTGCAATGCCTTCTTCACCTCCATCATACTCTCCAGAACTCACAGTAATTTCCCGGATAAGTTCTATTCCTCTTATCTCTTCCTCGCTTGAAATGGTCAACGGTACTTTATCCACAAACGCCTACACCCGTTCGCCCTACACTACAGCTTTGGGATTGTCGAATTCCGCCTATAAGCTTACGGAGCCGCTTCAAACTCATCTGGCTCCCCTTATTGTTCGTGCAGATTCTTACGCCAACCTAGCTATTGATGCTGTACAGAAGAGATATCCCAGTGCGTTTACTACTACGCCAGAAGACGTGATGGGATATGTTCAGAACAGGCAGAAGGATGTAGACGAGTATGTCAGAGAAAGGCGGCAGAGTGCTGGTGCTATCGCTCAAGATATCGATAAGGTCGGTTTTCTCTATTGGCAATCGTGTGAGACCCTTATCGTTATCGGTTGGTCAGAAATTTGCTCCTATTGTGGATTACCTAGAGGTCGCTGTCAACCGTATCGATTCTAATACGAAGGAGAACGGCGTTCCAACCGACAAAGATGCTCAGGTCTCCCAGTATTCGCGCGCGCTCGAGCTTTCGACTCGTCTCAGAGATCAGCTCCAGCTCCACTCGAACGAGCAAATAAGACAACTCCAGGCTCACTCTATCCTTGTGTACGTTGATTATACTTTTTGTTGTATCCACTTATAGATTGACATGTAGTCAACGCGCTACGGAGACTGCTCGTTCTCTCAGCACCACCGCTTCATCATCTCTCTCCAATGCTCAAGCCAAACTGCACGCTGTCTCAGATAACATGATCGCTGAACTCGGAAACCTCCAATCCCAAGCTGCTTCCCTCTCAGCCTCTCTCCAAGCCTCTGCTTCGAAAACCCTGAAAGATCCGACCGCTCAGCTTCCTCCACAGATTCAACAGAAATACACTGAACTAGTTTCCGTGCTTCAGACTCAGGCATCTTCCGCCTCTGATACGTACGCGGACTTGTCGAATAATCTGGCCTCGACCGTGTCGGAGTTGCGTGGTATCATGGCAGCGGAGAACGTGTCGATGCAGGACAAGGCGGCGAGGATAACACATAAGGTTTCGGCAAAGGTTCAGCCTTTGTTGGAAGTGCTAAGTAGGAACGTCCAGCAAGCTATGGGTGGTCGAAGTCGTCCTCCGTCGTCAGGAGAGACGGTCAATGGACACGCTACATAGGGGTCGTTGGATTTCATTTCTTTCGGAATCTCTTCAATTTTTCTTTTTTCTTTTCGGAAATAGACTTCTTTTTTGATAGACTTTTAACGTTCGACACCTCTTGTAACTTGTTCTCAAAGTGCAAATATACGCTGTTTGTCGATAAATATTCAGAAGACTATCATGGTCTGTTCAGGAAAAGCAACAGTGGTCTAACGGTTATGATCCGGTCTTCCCATTGTGTTAACGCTTTGGCCGGGAAAGGGGTTCGACTCCCCTCTGTTGCATTTTCTTTTTGCATCTTGTAATCACGATGTACTTTTACTACATTTCAGTGAATGTATGTACCACACTAGTCATATGTGCGCAAGCTACTTACCCTGATATCTGATCACGTTGCCACGAAAGCAAAGTAGGAAAAAAAATTATGCAAGCCCATCTAGGATCTTTGGACATCCACATCCTCCCCAAGGCCATCCACGGTTGACTTCCGTCAGCCTCCGAGGCACTACCACGTCGGCATTCCATTGAAAGGAACACCAAGGTACATTTCAAACCACTTTCGAAGCCACTTATAGGCAACCCCCGCTACAATGTGGTCCAAAGGACCTCAAACCACAATCGTTCATTCGCTCCTGCTCCTATGTAATCCCTACCGGCCGAAACAACCGGCAGGTTTCCAACCACACTCTCAGATTGAGAACCATCTGCCACACATTGTTCTTGCTCTCGAAGAGCAGTGAAGGGACATTATGAACAGCAAAGCTTTATCAAGGGGCAGAATCATGCGAAAGAGCTCGAGGTTCATGGTCTAGGCCGAATGCTCTCCGACAAAGAAATCTTACCACATTCACAATCACTCTTCTTCTTGTACGAGCATCAACCAGCCGCGACACGCCTACAGCGGACCAAAGAGTAACGGAATCCTCCCCAACGATGCCGCAACCAAGATGTCAACCACCGACACACCAGAGTGCTGAACACGAACCACGGATTCCAGCGAACCGTCAGACGACTGATATCCACTCACTGCACTCGAGGCTGGAAGAACCTCTATCACCACATCCCGCAGGAGTGGTAATTCACAGCAAGCGATAAACGCCCAACAATTCCACCGAAATCTTTTGTCCGAGCAGCAAGCTTCCGGGCTTGGTAGAAACACAAGACAAGGTGCCTGACATACGTTGGATCAAGGGAGATCGTACCTCGGGCCGGGGAGAGTAAACATGGATGAGAACAAACTGGAGCGACGAAGAGCAAGTGAAGGAATGCGGGAAGAACTCTAAGACGGGTCTTCGCAGTGTAAGACCTGAAGGACACAAAACCCCGATTTCGACATGAGCTAGTTCTTTGATCGACACCAAAGCCTGCTAATGAATCACTTCCCAACACGAACAATGTTGTCCGAGAACCCAACTGAACGAGGTGGGAGCGAGCTAATAGAATTGCGGCGAAAACATCGTAGTCGGCCTTTCTGTAATAAAAGGATACGAAGTTGGGGGCGGATGAAACTGCCAAGGTGAACCAGGAACACTGAACAATGATTGTACTCACGGAAACCGCGTCAAGAAAGCTAACTGCTGAATGTACCACTACATCGAGCTTGTGCCGAAGCTAAAGACCCTGTCAAGCAAGCATCATCACCTGTCAAGTAGTTCCTACAAGTGCGCTTTTCTGTTTGTGACCCTTTAATGCCCATGTCAGCCCAATCCACGTCCTATGGCTCCCTGATAGATAATCATCCCTGTAGCCGTCCGGGTTTCCAATACACACCGGCTTCTGGAACCTCTCCCCCGACCATTTGCTATGCCAGTGTGCATACTGAGAGCAAAGAGAGATCGGAGTGGCCCACGGCAGTGGAAAGACGGTCGAACTGCTGCCGGGATTTGAACTTTGACTCGCCCGATGAAATGACATCAAACAAGCTGAGTTCAGCGAAGGGAGGTCGTTAGACCAAGACTACAGATATCCTGTACGTGTGCTTGTCCAAGAAAGGAGAAAGAGCTCGAGTTATGCCAAAAAGATGGTGTGGGATCAACCAGACAAATAGCCTGGCGCTGAAAACATCTTTCCTAGAGTAAGATGGCTGAAGTCAACATCGAGAGATGTTTGTACGGAGGCCACTTGGTGTCTAGGCAAATAATACTCGATCCCATACCGCAGTGTGCGTAGCCATGCTCCTCCTCTCACTATTATCCATAAGGTCCCGCGACGCCCTCTGGTGCTCAACACGCTGTCAACGCGACACGAGTTAAAAGTCCAAGGGTTTCCGGTATCGTCTTCCCTTTATAGTCCCACTCTTGCATCAGAGAAAGCATGTCAGATGCAGCATTCCGTGCGTGGACGAGAGAAGGCGAAAGGGGTCCCGAGACGACACAGACTGGACTCTGTACGAGAAGTCAGGCTGTCAAAGCAGCGTGAAGTGGAACACTTTCCGGAGAGGCGATATAGGATAGTGAAAGGTATCGTCACAGGCGAATGTTCCGGTGTATTGGGAGAGCAATATTGGCACAAGAGACAAAGCAAAGAATGTCCAGCGTAAAATTCCCGACACGACCTTTGGAGCTGTTACTCTACAGTCATGTCGACGTACGAGCATAAGAAGCGAGAATGAATGAATATACTGCAGTCCAAAGGAACTTAGGGTTAGATATCACTTCAGGGTTGGAACGAGAAGTGCATCGTGCGGCTGGAGGAGATGAAAAACCAGGGTAGGACAGGTTAAGGGCGACAGAGACGGGTATCTGGAGCGTTGAAAATTAAGGAAAGACACAACATGAAGGCTTGAGAAATAACGATTGGGTGTTGCTGAGGGTACACCGATGGTGATTGTGTGCAAAGAGAAAGAAAACATTGTGTGACGCTGATCGCGACTATGAGTCACCACACGTGACTGTAACGCGTTGTAGTAAAATCTTGAAAGCTTCATTGATCATGTCTCGCGAAATTTCCTCCCAGCATATCCTTCCACATGCGCTTCCGGTTCCGGCTATAAAAAAGCTCGGTGGAAAGCGGATTGTTCTTGCTTCCAATAGTTCTAGGAGACGGGACATTCTGAAAACCATTGTGGGTGTAGAAATGCCCTTTTACTTGCTCTCAACGTTCTATTTTTTGTCAGTAGGGATTATCACCAGATATAATCCCTTCCACTTTTGAAGAAGATCTATCGCCAGCATCTTTCGCAGATATACATGAATATCCGGTTGCCACCGCGAGCCATAAAGCAGTAGAGGTTTATGAGAGGCTAGTGGTAAGTTGGTCTTTTGTCGCGATAAATTAACGATATAACTTATGATTTCTAGGCTGAAGATGCAGATAATGCTCCAGATCTTGTCATCGCAGCCGACACAGTAGTTCTCACTCATGCCCAGCCATCCACATCGCAGATTGACTACACTCTCCTTCCTTCCGTTGGTCAAGAATTGCTTGAAAAGCCCAAGGACAAGGCAGACAACCTGCGAATGCTTATGGATTTGAACGGACAAGTCTGTGAAGTTGTCACTGGAGTGACTGTCGTATACCCGATCCTCACTGCACCTGGATATGGACTCCGTTCGATCGACGAGCGGTCTTTGGTGTACTTTGCTGATAACCCTCAGCACATCATCAAAGCTTATGTCGACTCTGGAGAAGGAATGGACCGTGCAGGTGGATTCGCTATCCAGGGCATGGGCGGGGTCCTGGTGAGAAAGGTTGAGGGTGATTATCAGAACGTAGTAGGCTTTCCGATGGCGAGTTTCTTTAAGCTGTTGGATATTCTGGTTGAGGAAGATGATGATTTTCTGCAAGTGTGAGGGCGCATACGTTTTAGATACCCGATATGTTATGTACCAACTATTACTACATCTTTGCGGACTTCATCGCAAAGCAAGGCAGCCACTCGTCCAACGCCAACTGAAAAAGTCCTAACCCTGTATAAAAGGGTGCCTGCGACACAGGACTATAAAATCCAATCGTTCTGAAATCCGTGTGATTCGAGTCTGGAATCAAAAGTACTCGCATATCCGAAACATGGACCATGTTATCGTAGGTGATACCAAAGAACGTTGTTGCGTTCGATGGGTCATTGCATTCCGGAACAATAACCGAGGGTTCTCTTTGAGGAGCATTTGGTTCAATTGATGCTAATCCCATCGTTCGCCATGGGTCGACTGCGAGGAAGCAGATTGAGCACCCGAAATTCGTCCAAAAACACAACTACTCACATTCACCATTAGCAAACATGACATTGGAAGGCTGCATATCCCAGCCTCCGTACTTGTTGATGTTTTGTACCTGAGGCCAGCTCGGGAGGTGATCAGAAAAGGCTTCATTGCACTGTTCCTGGAACAGCTCCATTGACTGAAAAGAAGTCTCGATAGATAAAGGGTTATCTGGGTTGCCGCGTTGGTAAAAACCTAGGCATAGAAATCAACGCGAAATGTTCACAGTGAATCTCTTTATACATACCGTATTCAGAACAATACTGCCTCATCCAAGACATGTCCGCAACGGGATCGTCAGGAGATCCAGAAGTGGAATCATAATCAAGTTCCGCGAGCGCGACGAGGAAGGCTTGGAAGGCATCTACGACCCCAGAGACCGATACAATACCATTCTCTGTAGCATTTTCGGTAAAGTTTCTGGTCTCGAGGAGGTTGCAGAAAGGTAAAAGCGAGTCGGTAAAGCCATAGTACTGCATATTCTTTGAGTGCTAGTGAGAAGAAACAGTGGTTGATATGCGGACCTGATAAAAGTCGAGGGGATCCATAAGGATTGAGGCAGCATCCACATCACTAGTTTTATTCGCCTGCTCTTTGGTCAAACCGTCGGCACCGCTAGTGTTTCCTCCAGGACCACTCAGTCTGGCTTTGAGCAGGTCAAACTTGAGATCCTCTATAAGGGTTGCATTGGTTCCCTGGAGAATGTTATCAACATAGCTTCAATTAATACGGTCAGTTGTGACGCGTTAGAAAATGAAGAAACATACCTAGTAACGGCTACCCAATCTGCCGAGCAGTTCACCGTTAAACTTCGCTGTGCAGCAGCGTAATAAGCCCACATGTCTACTTGAGCGTGCACAGGTGCCGATGAGGCCCAAGCTGCGAATATCGTCTCTGGGTTACGTTGCCGCAAAAGGGCGCCACGAATGCCGGGGTAAGAGCCACCTAGCCACACCCAGGGAGTTACAGAGGGATGTACTGGTAGTCTTTGAGGTTCAATATCTGCTGTGGAATTGACGGTGGATCCTGCCGAAAACGAAGAAGAGCTGCTATTCTTGCTAAATGAGTGCGCGAAAAACACGACA